ACATATAACTTTTTTGGAAAGATCAGGGCTCGAGAACTGATTTGCGGGCCGATTTTGCATTTTTCACCATATCTACGGAACCAATTAATGGAATTTCTTGAAATTTGATATTTGAGTTCTGGTTGTTACCGAAACTAACTGGCGAGCATTCCAGGGAATTCGGGCAGCACAAAGCGAAACTCTACTAAACGCCAAATTTACATTTTTCTAAGTATGTTAACTATAAGCTTACTAATGTCCTAAAATTTGGAAAGAAGTATTTAACAGACATTTTCATAATATTCTGTAACACTTTCATTTAACTAGACAATACACAATGCGGTCGGTTACGTGCTGACCATATCAGATTTTTTATTTTTCATATCCAAAATTTTCATATCATAAATTTGAAAAAAATTAATAAAAATTTTTTTTCCAAAATCATCAGTTTAAAACATTTTTACTAATTTATTATTAAAATATTATGCATTATTTTAATAATATATTAAAAATACTTATATTTTATACTCTCAATTCTCCAGCATACTAAAACATTTCCAATTCGATAAAATGACTGTTGTCTACAAACATTCATTCCTAACACGATCACAAAAATCTGATAAGTAAAGTGAATCGAGTCAAGAGTGTTATACTCTCTATAGGCTAACATTAATGATTTTATTTTTTTCCGTGTTATTTTGTGTCAAAAATTTTCTTCAAAACTCTATAATAATCATCATTAAAATATCACCCACTAAAACTTTTAATAGCTGAAATTATAATTATATATACTTATAATAAATATATTATGAAAAAAATTATAATAATTATTATTATAATTATATTCAGTGACACAGAAAAGTTATTTTCAAAAACTTTTTTAAAAGAAATAAAACAGTTGATAGTTTCCCTAATGTATATAGCGATTTAAATGGAATGATATGATAAAAAAATTTTAGAGAAAAAGTTGAAGAAATTATAGGCACCTATAATTTCTATACTACTAATACGACTACTATATTGTTGTATATGTGAATGTAATAGATAATGGCTATATATATATAGGCATATGTTCATGTAAATATGGATGAAATTGTTATGATTGTGATTGGAATTTTAAATGGATCCTCATAAACGATACAATTTATTCATTTTGAATAAAGAAAAAATGCCCATATATAAAAAATATTATAATTTAAAGTGAGCTGTATACAAATTAAGAGTTGAACGTATAAACTTTTGAATGTCTTTAGATATAAAAGTTGTCTTCAAACTATAAGAAATAGATATGCGTCGTTTCAGTCGTCATCTATTTTAATTGTTAGAGTTAGCTGCTTAGAATTGAATTAACTATTAGGCAAATAAATTCCTTTATTCATATTCTTATATTAACAATCAATATTCATAATTATGTAATAATAAAAATTGCAGTCATTCAACTTTTACATGAAAACCACATGAGAGATATGAGAGAATTCAATAAATAAAATTTTAACAGACCAAATTAATTTAAGAGAATTTACACCTAAGTTATTTGAATTTTTAGTTCTCTTCCTTTCAAGTTGATCATATTTTTATTTGCTCTCAGCATTATGCTAATTTGAATATTGTTCGATTACATGAAAATTCGGTGTGTAAACATCCGTTTCACGGGACTCTTGTGTGTACAATGTCCATATGAATCATAAAATCCATATATGAACAAGATTTAATGCCAAAATTTGCCCGAACATATTTCTATTTTTTAAAATATGTGGAGATAGAACCTCGATTTCCCCAATTTCAGTTTTAAGAGTTTTTGCTCATAGGTCAAATTTAAGAAATATATTACATAATTATATCTATATTTTGACAGTGTTATGAATGAAAAAACGAATTTAATAAAATATCCAAAGTACTCATTTGGAATTGTAAATCTTTAAATTCTAAAGACAAAAGCATCAACAACAGTATCAACCAATTAAAGACATGATAAATTTATCAAAAATTTTAAAATGTATATTATTATAGAATGAATAAGGTGTCTCATCAACATCATTGATGGATTGCATCAACATTTTTTTCTGCTTAATTTATAAATTTGAATACAATGATCGATATGCAGATTGTATCATTTAAAATTTTTCCTTCACATTTTCTTCATAATTTCGATTATCTTTACTATAAAGATAAATTTAAGGGGAAAATCAAAGAGTATAATAATATGTTAACGAGTAAAGGTTGAGATTTTATGAAATGTAGAGTAAAAACGTTCCTATTAAATCTTTGGGTCGCGTATTTTCATTTCACTTTTTATGCACTTTCAAATCAGAATTCTCCATTCGTCCTAATAAATATTTCATTTTTCCAATAAAATTACTCATTTTTTCAATTGAATTATTGAATTTTTTCGCAAATTATTGACTAAAATGAGATAAGAACAAAATACGCAATATGGACTAATTCTTCCGGTTCGAAAATTACATTATACAAAAATATGATAGTTACTCACTCTCTTCTAACTTGACGAGTAAAAAAGCGTACCGAAAGAGACGATCAGGCTCTAAATAAAGTTAAACCAAATAATATTGATTGTCTTGCTGAAACACTTTGTTTCTCTTATATAAAATTAAGATGAGAGAAGAGAATATTGTAATCGAATCATGTTTAATGTATTAAAATGATACTCGTACATTTATAGTATAAATTATCATATTTAATGATTTTTTAATAACTTTAAAATGAGGCAATTTTTGAATAATCTTAAAACAAAACAAAACAAAAAACAAGACCGCTTAAATGTAATTTAAAAAATAAAAAAAAAAATATATTCAAAATATTCAAGACAGGAAACAATAAAATGTGATAAAAAGTGAAAAAGCCGAAAAATTAAAATAAATAAATTTTTTTACATTTACAAAACACTGAAATGGCACCTTCATTTTAGCGCCATTCAACAAGAAGTTACTCAAGAAAGCTTTAAACAAAAACTTACTTAATCGAAATGAATAGGCCAAAATGATATTTTTATAATTTTTATACAACAATGAATATTGAAAGTAGTTAGCAAGATGATTTGTGACCCTATATACTATACTATGCCCTATCACAAATTAAAAAAATTTTTTTTTTGGAACTAAAATTAAACTTTCCCTTTTATTGAAACTAAAAGTTCCATTAGCACAGTTCAGCTAAACTATTGTTAAAACTAAAATGGAATTTTGTTTTTTTTTTTGATAATTAATGAATTTTTTGATATTGTGAATTTATTTTAATAGAAAATGTAATGAAATGCATTATAAGGAGAAATATTTGACTAAAATATTGTAAAGTAAAATTTATTGAGTGAGGCTCTTTTAAGGGAAGTATTATAGCTTTACTCTATATTAATTCCAAAGCCATATGTAAAAATGAAAAATTGAACATGATTTTTAACAATATATTCTGGAAGAGCAATCAGCAACTCAAATATATGTACTACATAAAGTTTTGTTCTGCTGAATATTATTTTTGAGACTGGAAATAAATAATTTCTACAAATAAGCTTTAGGTAATATAAAAGTTATCTTATTTCGTCTTGCATCCAATAGAAGTTGTTCTGGTGATTTGATGTAAGTACTCAACTAATCCACCTCTTGACGAAATCAGTTTGTTGAGAGATCAAAGTAGCTTATTGTGAATTGAATTGAACTGAATTTCAATTGGAATTTTTACTTTGTTATTGAGCTAGTTACAAAAGTATATTCCATTTTTAATATATTAAAAATTAATAGTAATTGCCTTTTTCTCTTTGTACTCATGGTTTTAAATTTGTTATTTAATTCCCTTTTTAAATTTTATCGGAATCACTCAAAGCGCATTTAAGTGAATTTTAATCCAATTATAAAAAAAATATCAACTAATTTAAGGCTTCTAGAAAAATTAAAAAGAAAACAAAAATCTTAAAAATGAATCAGATAAGTTTACTGAACGAAAATACTACAGTTAAGAATCAATATAGCAATATCTTTGAATATGTGTGGCATACTAGGGCGAACAATATTACAACATTATTGTTTGTTATAATTACTGTATAATTGGGTATGCATAATATTCCCCGTAATATTGAAAATGAATGTGGAATGTAATATTTTTTTGTTGATTTGTTGTAGACTCAGCTTTTGAATAAACTATATAAAGTATACTACATATTTTTAATATTTTGTTATACCTAAGAAAATTTACGTGAAAATTTTAAATTCTCCTCTAAACGCTTTTCTATTTCTAATTTAATATTATTCTATTCGATTAATTTCACAGTATAATTTTGAACTACATTCTGAAATGTTTCTTTTCTTCAAAGGTTACATAGATTGTAAATTGTTGATATAGAGGCGAGATATAGGCAAATGAATTCCTCTCCTCCGGCCACCGCAGCTTAACCGTCGCTTATTGCAACCCTCCCATATCTCTATGAAATTATCACGGTTTCAAATAAATACCTGGAGATATCCCTTATAGGAAGTTGGAGGTGAGCTCCCTAACACTGAAAAAATCCCCGTCCAAATCATCTGCACGTCTTATATTACAGCTAGAGCAAGACAGCTAAAGTTATAATAAGGAATGTAGAAATATTTACAATTGTTTCATTTAAGAATATTAAGAAAAAATTTGTAATTGTAGCTCCTAAAATTTGTCCCTAATTTATTTGAATAGTACCCTTAACAGTTTTAATCTCAAAATCTGTAATATATTTTTTTTGTCTCATATATCTCATTGACATTGACTGGTCATTTAGTTGTTATAAACAATCACCAGTCATCAGTTTATTTGATATTGTTATTAATTTATTCGGTCATAATTAATGAATTTAAATTGAATCCTGCACAATTCATTAAAATTAAATTTTATATTCATTGACACAACAATATTTATATTGTAAGCTTATATTTATATTTTTGATATTTTGTAAATTAATTATTAAATTTTCTCTTTGTATTCAAATATTAAAAATTAATACTTAATTATTGCCAAAATAATAAATTTTTCTTTTTTATTTTCAGGCCATAAATTTCGAACTTTTATTCGGTTTTATTCGATTTTAAATTTTAAAATACTCGCGATACTCATACAATAAACATCAAAATTCGACTATTAAAAATAATAATAAAAATTTAAAATAATAATTATTATTAAAAAAAAAAACAAAAAAAAAAGGCTAATAATATTTTTAATCTTCTATAATGATATTTAATTAAATGCCATAATATATAAAAAAAATAAATTTTATCACATAAAAATAAAAAAAATATTAAAAAAAAATAGAATTTAAGGTGTGTATGTATATATATATATAATTATTATTATTATATAAGTGTGTATCTTAAGTGTTTTTGGTTTTTGCTTTTCTTATCTTAAAAGAGTGCATAATAATAATTATGAAGTAAAAAATTTAATTTAAATTATAAAAGAAGATAATAAAATTAAATTTAAAAGTATAAATAAAAAATAAATAATGATATATTAGAAAGAAAGAGAGAAAGAGAGAGAGAAAAAATAAAATAAAATTAAAATTAATTGTGTCGAAAATTAGAAAAATTTGCATATATATAGGAGAAATTAGTGGTAATAAAAAATATATTATATAAGTAATACCTAAGGTGTATAAATTAGAAAAAAAATTAAAAATAAAATATAGATAAAAATTTTGTGAAAAGAAATTTCATATATATATATATATATATATATACATATATACACATAAATATTTGTAGAAAAAAATAAATCTTAATTAATATAACAAAAGAAAGAAAAAAATAAAAATCCAACAATCATGTTGGATTTAATAGCCGCTCTAAATAAGCGCCATAATCCGCCGAATTTTTATAATAAAAATTATAATAAAAATAGTTCCATTAATATAAAAAATAATAATAAAAATCATAATAATATAATTATTAAAAATAATAATAAGCGTGGCCATAAATTCTTAGTTTTAAATAATAATAATAATAAAAATAATATAAATAATAATTATAATTATAATAATTATTTTAAATATTCAATTATAATTTTAATTGGATTAATTGCCATATTAAATAATTATGCAATATTAAAAGTAAATGCTGAAATCGATTTAAATAATAATAATATTGATCAAATACAACAAGATCATTACAAAAAACAACAACAACAGCAACAACAACAAGAAGAAGAACAACAACATGAATCATTTATTGAATCTTTGGCTATAATTACACCAATCTCTAAAACAGTATTTGATGCAAGTGATTCAATATTAACATCATCATCATCACCATCATCATCATCATCATCGTCGTTATCACTTGATACATCAACATCATATGATTCATCATTATTTTTAACAACAAATACTTATATAACACTACCATCATCTGCATTACCATCAGTTTCACCAATATCACCAACGTTATATTCTTCAGAAAATTCGAAATATAATATAAATGATGATAATGAAAATAATAATTATGATAATATTGATATTATATTACAAAAAGAGAAACAGCAACAAAATGAAAGACAACAGCAACAACAACAGCAACAACATAATTTTGTGTCGTTAGTCCTTCCACACGATACATATCCTGGTTTTAGTATTAAGAAATTTCATACAATACCAATTAATGATAATAATATTAGTAATTATCATTATAATATTGATAATATCAATTTCAATAATAATAATAAAAATAATAATAATTCATTTAATGATTATGAATTCATTACAAAATCATCATTATCACAATCAATTGAAATTAATAATGATGATAATAATAAAAATCAAAAATATCATCGTAAACATCAATCATCTACATTATATAATAAAAATTATCGTTTACTTGAAACTGGATTCTCAAAATATTTTACAATGTTAGATGATGGTATGGTTATGACAACATCTGATATATCACCATTAGTTAATCGTCCTGTCAATTTAATTGTTGTTGAAGAAACACCAAATATAACAAATACACATCATTTACAATTATTTGTAATGCATCGTGATGATATGTTAAAATTTCCAGGCGCAAATTTAGATATTACAGGTGAAATTAAAGAAAATCAACCATCTGGTACAATTGTACGTGGTATACCATTATTACAGGCATTTTTTGGTATTAATAATAATGAAATAACAAAAAGTATTAAATATTCAATAATTGATGGTAATGATGATGATTCATTTGCATTACAAGCATCACATGATAAATTAAAATATGCTGATACAATAATATTACATGGTGATATTAATATTGGTGGTGTTTGGTTAGTAACAAATCGTCCACTTGATCGTGAACAAAAAAATTCTTATGATCTGTCAATTCAAGCATCTGATTTAGATGATTTAGATAAAACAATAACAAAAATAAAAATTACAATACTTGATGAAAATGATAATCGGCCAATATTTTTACATAATATGTATAAATTTTCGATAGCTGGTGAAAAATCAAAAGATTTAATAAATTATGATCAACAATATCAACAAATAAAATCAACAATTATAAATAATAATAATAGTAATACAGAATCACCAACAATATGGAAACGTTTTACAATATTGGGTAAAGTTGAAGCAAAAGATAATGATGGTGATAAAATTGCATATCGTTTAAAATCACCAAGTAATACAATTATAATTGTACCACAAACTGGTGAATTAATGTTAGTTGAACAACCACCATATGGTAAAAATGAATTATTAATTGATGTTATTGCACATGATTTACGTATACCAAGTTTAGAAAGTATTGAACCAGCTAAAGTTTTAATTGAATTTCTTGAACCAGAACCATTATCATTTATGATGCAATATTTAAATCATGATGATATTAATCAGCATACACATCATCGTGAAAAACGTAGAGTAACGCGCGCTGTACGTCCAACAAAACGTATTGAATTTACTGAAGCTGATGGTGATACCGAAGGTAAATCAGTATTTCAATTAGAAAAAGAAACGGATCGTGAAACATTTAAAATACGCGATGAAAATCCATGGGTAACTGTTGAACCTAATGGTGCTGTTAGAGTTAAAAAGAAGTGGGACTATGAAGAATTAGGTCCTGAAAAAACAATTGATTTTTGGGTTATAATTACAAATGCAGGCCATAATGGTAAGTTATATTATGATTTTTTTTGGTAATAAAATATTTTGTAAACAAATTTAATTATTTATTTATCTTAAAATGAAAATAAGAAAAAAAAATTTTTCAATTCAATTACTCAATGTACACACATTATTTCATGTACAACTTTCTGTTGTATAAAAACACACAAACACACATATCTAAATTTTAAAAGAATTTTATTTTTGGATCATTTCATTGAACTTCCGTTTTATGACATGTTGGATGTTAATTATATTTTTGTATAGAATACTATTGCCTTCCCTTTTCTTAGCAGCATTAAACTTGAAATAAAATATTTTGTAATATATAATTATATATTTTTTGGATTCAATTGAATTTATAGTACTATATACGTATGTATTTTTGGTTGCGTTCGCATGAAGAGATGAAAGAATGAAAAATTAAAGTTGATGCCTCCATATGTTTGGTATATCGCTAACAAGACAAAAATTCAATTTACTTACAATATGCTATTAAGAATTTTTAATGTTATACAAAATTCAAATATTGTACACAATCGTGAAGAAATATATAAGGTGTTTCATTTAAGTTTACATAATTATGTTATGCGAAACCGGAATATTACCGACGCATATTTGTAATTAACACTTATATATTTGGAGAAATTTAGACTCAATTTCTTGTAAATTATATAAGTAGCACATTTTTATTAAAAATAACATATTTTAATTGTTTGTACCAAAGAAAATGTTTAATTTTATAAGCAAATTGGTGATTCTTAAGAATAATTCTAAAAGTGACTATGTTATTTGTATTAAGGAGCCTAGTTGTAAACATGAGAATTTTGAAAAGAAAATGATTTCTATATTATTTCCAATGCATACAATGCAGCTTTAACTTTCCACTAATAGCTCCAACTATTCTAATAGATTTAACTCTCCGAAACCACAATTCAATATTAACTCTATACTCTCATTTCTTATAATATGACATTCACTCCTTCATTCGACTGCATTTACTTTAATTCCTTCTTCATAAAAAAAAGTATCACCCTGTAAAAAGACAACGTACGCGTATTTATGTATTTTTTGTACGTATACAGGAGAAACTTTCTTTTTTGTTATTTTAATTGAGATTCATTTTTTCGTTTCTTATTACTTATGTATATTTGCTTTTAAGACAAAAAAATAACAAGAAAAAACATACAATATTACCAGATGTTGAAGTTTAAAATAATAATTCTAAATTTAGATTAAAAATACAATAAAAATACGTATAGAAAATTTCAAGAGTATTAAAGAATAATGTTTATTTTTTAAGTACGCAAACTTGTTTTAAAAAGTCTTCTATATAGCAATATGGGAATGTAGAATGAGTGGAAGAATGTTTAAAAATTAAGTTATTAAAATCATTATATAAGAAAAAAAAATAATCAAAAGTACTAGACAATTTTGACTTAAATTAAAATTAATTATGGCATTATTAAATACGAAAATAGTGTCAGTATGAATGAAATATTAAGAAAAGAATTTTTGTACATATTGAAGCATAAAAGTGGCAGACTTATGAAAATAATTGAGATTTTTTTTTGTTTTTCGGAAAAATTCAAATCGCGAATTTATTTTCATTAAAATTAATTCATAATTTTGCATTTTGATTCTGAATAATGAACCGTTATTCACAATTATAATATTAGGTAGTATACATAGGCAGGTATTGCAATTGAATTTTAGTTTTGGGATTTGGATCACAATATATTTCGACTGAAATGGATCCAGCTATATTGTACATACTCATACATACGGAGTTTGAAATTTATGAAAATAAATGCGATTTTTTTATTATTCAAACCTGAATTTGTAGAAAACAAAATATTCTGGCAGAGACTGTCCAAATCACTGATTTCACTAATAATTATTATTACAGTGTTCGATCACTTTAAATATTTTTAAATAATTTTTATTTATATATACTGGATATAAAATTTCTCATATTCTAGAACAATATAGGGCAGATGGAAAATTAATAAGGACATTCAAATTTATGGGACAATTGAAAACAAAATTGAATTGTTTCTTCCTCGATATGAAGTCCAATATTTATAATAATGAAGATAATCATACTTGTACATGAATACTATACATATTGATAATATTTTAAAATACTTGTATTTTATAAAAAATATATGTGGAATTCATTCCGGTTTCTATATTATTTATAGCAATAATAGAATTTTTAAAATTATAATTATAAAATGTACTTATGGACTTTAATTATTTTCAATTTTTTAAGAGATATTTCGCTCATACTATACATTATTTAGATATTTTGAGTTAAATGTTGTATAGACTTGTATTTCATACATAATACAAATACAACAATTAAAATGCTTTACTATAAATATAAAAGACAATTAATTGTTATTTAACAATAAAATACGCATGATATTCTATAAACTAATTCAAAATTAGTACAATTATGACAATACGAGTATATATATTATATTGTATTATCATATTATAATTGGATAAGATTTTATATTGTATGAGCGTCAGATAAGTTATAAGTATATATAGTTAAAATTTTAATATTTAAGCAAATCGTAAAAAATAAATATTAAATGTCCCTAAAATATCGTATAATGTAAAATATTTTTAATTTTCTATATAAAATAGAAGAATATTAAAATAATTTACATATTAATAATGACAAACAATAAATAACATAGTAGTTCATATATAACGTCTATATGCGAATTATTCATTCAAACATGTATGATTTATGAGCAATTGTTGTTATAATTGAATAACGTTTAAGGAAAATTTATTTAAAACCCTATATACATACGTATAAATTATATAAGTATAGATACAATTAAATACAACATAATGATTTTTTGATTTTCAAATTATATTCGATATTCATTTAATTAAATTTTTAAAAACACTATGATGAATATAATTAAAAAAAATTTTTTAAATTAATTAAATTTTTTTTTCAATAACAATAATAATTAATGATAGCTTTTATTTATGATCATATTTAATTATTAACTTAAATATTTTTTTTTTTGCAAAATAAACCATTTGATTTATTATCAATTAAATATGTTAATTAAACTGAAATATTTTATATTTTAATATAAGGAAAAAAATTTATTTAATTTAATATATAATTTTTGAACTGCAAATGATTTATATTAGGTATTGATGGTTTGTATTTTGAGAATATATTCCAAATAATATATATAGCAATCTATTTATGTACACCATATCTGTTTTAATAATTAATGTGTTTAAAAAGTAGTCTAAATATAACTCCTTTCAATTGACACAATTAATTTAACTAAAGACTCAATTACTAAAATTTCATTAAAATCTTACGAATAAAAATGGTACCGCAATGTAGGAGTCTTAAATTTTTGGTAGCCCTCAGATATTCATAAAAAGTTCATTTCTTTAGAAGAAATTTTTTTTCTAACACCACCCTCTCTCAAGTTATCATCAATCGAAATCTGAATTTTTGTATTAAAGTGTCTAATGGCATATTTCCGAGACTGTAAGCTTTTCCAAATTTCTATAAATGCAGAAAGTTAATGTTAAATGCTATGCTATAAAAAATATAATTATTTTTTTTTTTAAATCATTCAATTAACCCTTAAATTCGAGCATTATGTTAACGCCTCTTTAAATTTTTTTTTTTGTTTCTATATTGCCTATATGTATGCAATATTTGAAATATATTCGTGTATGAATTAAAGTAATTTTAATAATACGTCTGTATTATAAACAGACCATATACGTTATATACTGTTTCAATTCTCAACAGACGAATAGCTGAATTGATTTTTGCTTCAATTAATGCTACATAAGTATTGGAAGGGAAAAGTGCTACATTTCAAACAATTGGTTTGACCCAACTTTATTTTTATTGGATTTCATTTGTATATTGCGTATTATTGTTAATAATTTCAGTTATAGTATGCATTAATTTACTAAAAATTTAAATACCTTCCACTTTATTTTAGTGCAAATTGCATTTTAATTAAGTGTCTTTTGTTTTTCGAGAAGAGGAACCAATTTATTTGTATAGGTGTAATTTGGTTAACTTCTAAAAGAGGTGCGGTTCTACTTAAAAAATTTAAATTAAAAATACTTTATGTCTACTTTAAAAAAAAAAACAAAATTTTAAATGTTTTTATAAATTTTTTGAATCTGTAATAAAATTTATCTGCTATTTTTTTAACAACAAAAATTTTTTTTTTTAATAAAGTTTGAAACAAGAAGTTTTTCAATTAAAATTCATTATATGTAGTAAAAATAAACAATCCGACATCTTTTAAAAATTTTTATAAAAATAATATTAAGAGATGCACAGAAAATATTAATGTATGTATGTGTGTATTACATATAGACAATAAGAATTTAATATAGTTATAAAACTTGTATGAATTATTTTGGTAATAGAAAAGAAAAGTTTCAATATAAAAGTGTGGGTTTTTAGTTATACTATACATGAATTCTTCTTAATCTGTTGACTATTATTATTACATTGTCACTACAGTGAACTTGAGAGAATTATAAATTCAATTGTATGAAAATTCGAATAAAATTCAGAGGCATATTTATAAGAAGGGTAAAATTTAGTCAGAAAATTTAGGCAAATTTACTAAATTTGATTTGATATTCAAGATTTCATTTGTTCAAACTAAATCTAATCATTAAATTTTCTTTATTTTAAATTCATCTTTCCAAATCTTTTTAAATTTGATTCAGTTTTCCAAATCCCCGACATTTCTGAAATTTAAGATTTTCAATGCAATGATATTAAAGTTTTTAAACAGAATTTGGAATTCGTGCTTAGTATTTTTTTCATTTAATTTTATAAAATTAAAAAATTTCCAAACTAGCCTAGTCCCGAATTATTTTGATGCAATAATTTGGATCGGAAAAAAATTGCATTATCAAGCATTATCATATTCAATATATATTAAAATTATTGATGATATCATCACACTATATTTC